GAGAGAGTGAGGACAGAGCCTGGCGCCCGGCAGTGTCCCAAATGTGATCCCAGTGGGTGGTCTGAGGTCTGGGGTCCCCGTTACCCTGAAGACTTTTCCGAAAGGGGAACTTACCCAAAAAAGTGTGGGTCAGAAGATCAGCAGGTCGGTGGTGGCTGCGAAGATGGCGACGAGGAGAATGGTCGTGGACGTCGGGCGGGGGCTGAGCAGGGGCGCCCTAGAATCTGGGTTTCTGGGAAGGTCCTTTTATCAGTTTGGGGTGGGCTATTGCTTATGTATGAGGAGGGAGCTACTTTTAACCTATCACAGGCCAGATTGCTTTTATGGGCCCAGTCCTGCAGACACAGGTTTCAACTTCCCTGGACCACTGTGGCCTTGGCGGGGAGGGAAACCAGAGATAAGGGCACGAGTTCATTTTAGGAGCCAAGATGTACCAGGAGAATGCAGCCTGTGAGGCGGCGTCACAGTGTACTTTAACATGATCAATTCCCTAACACATAGTCTTTCCTTCCTTGATATGTATGCGTTCTCAAACACTGAAGAACATGATACAGTCCTACTACTCAGATTTAAGGATGGTTGACATTTCATCATATTCATTTCATCTCTACATTTTTATTTTCTTTTACTGAACAACTTCCTGAGCTGCAGTCATCGCACTGCTTCTCCCCTTCGTATTTTGCCTGCATTCCTTAAGGACAGGGACACCTTCCTTCATAACCATGGCATTGTTTTCACTCCCAGGAAAAGCACCATCAGTTCCCTGCTGTGATTTTATGTCAGTCTCTCAGGGTCTGCAAGCTTTTCTGTAAAAGGCCCAGATAGTAAATACTTCAGGCTTTCAGCCATGAGGCGTCTGTCACAACTATCCAGCCCTGTCTTTCTAACACAGAAAGGCCGCAGACACCTTGCACACTGACAACTGTGGCTGTGTTCCAACAGGACTATACAGACACAAACAGTAGGCCTCATTATGGCCTAGAGCCCCAGGCTGCTGACTCCTCAAATCCCTACTCAAATGTCCTTAATTCTTCCCCGCAAAAGAAATCTATTATTTTTTAAGAAGATAAGTCTTCGGGCCAGGGATTTAGCTCAGCGGTTCAGTGGCCTGCCTTGCAAGCGCAAGGACCCGAGTTCAATCCCCGGTGCCAAAAACAAACAAACAAAAAGAAGATAAGTCTTTAACTTTTTTCCACCTTAATTTCAAGTTTCTAGATCCTCCTCTGTTTTTTTTTTCTGGGGTGATTTATAATCATCTGCACAAGGGTTATTTGAGAACGTGAAAACAGTTGTGCTGTGCAGTTGCTTTGCTTTATAGATCTCTGGGCTGGGATGTGGTTTAAATGCTCTGCTGGGAGGATTGCCATGAATTCAAGGCCAGCCTGAACCACCTAGTGAGACCCTGTTTCAAAACAAAACAAAACAAATCCTCCGCTGCGGTTACAACATATGGGTCCTATTTCCTGTGAAGAAGTTTTTGCTGCTACTTGGAAGCAAATGGTTTTTGACAAACCATTCTCATTGCAAAACATGTCATGATGGCTGACCTCAGTATCATTTAACTTATCAGTGTGCATGAGAATTAGATAAAATAAATTGCACCCTTGGGCCTCTGCTTGAAGATGGAAGTGTTGCTGCTGTTGATGGTTAGTGTGGTTAGTATTGTTTGGGGGGGGTCCTTCCACAATTCCTCCCATTCCAGTGTCACTTCTGAGCAAACCAGTTGGGGACTCTAGCACAAATTTCCACAGTTCTCACTGACCCATAGAAGCCACTAGGGCTGTCCTAGGTTTTGTCTAGTAGGACAAGATTCTTCTGAGAGAAGGTTATGAGCCCCTCTGTACAGATTTATTGATTCTATGCACATGTTACTCTTAAAAGTTATATACTGAGGTTAAGTTAAATGGGTGTACATCCCAAGGTTAAATTAAATGGGTTTTTGTGGATTTTTTAAAAGATAATGTTTAAGTATACAACTAAGTTGTTAAAAACAGGCTGGGGTTTACCTCAGTAGTAGAACATTAGCTTATCCTGGACAAAATCCTGAGTTCCGATCCCTGATACCAACAGACAGACAGACACACACACACACACACACACACACACACACACACACACGGGCTATAAAGAATTATTAAAAATAGGGCTGGGATTTGGCTCAGTAATTCTGCCACCTGCCTCGCAAGCAAGCACAAGGACCCAAGTTCGATCCCCGGTACCAAAAAAAAAAAAAAAAGATTCATTCATTTGTCTTACCGTATGGATATCTTTCCATCCTAGTGTATTACTTATTTTGAATTATCATACAGTTTGGAATTTAACCAGCATAAAGTGATACATTAGGGCCACAGTTTATAGATAGGAACTTTCTTTTTACAAGAGACTAAAAAATCTAATGATGTTATTCTTTTTCTTTGGGTTTTGGGTTTGGGGTTCTTGTTACTGTTGATATGAGGTGGTGGCACTGTGGATTGAACCCGAGGCCTTAGTGTTGAGAACATATTGTACCCTGAGCTACGTCCCTAGCCATAATTTGTTTTATATGATTATAATAATCAATTTCTGAACTTCCTTTTTAACTTCATTATTTTGTTTTAAAATAAATCTGCAAACGGAATAAGTAACATTTGAAAAGAATGAACTAAATGTATTTTAGGATGGAAATATCAGTACAGTATGTTGCTAAAAAAAAGCAAGTCACTGCATAGGACATAGTTCCATGGATGTTTACGTACCTATTTGCGTATATGCATATTGACAGGTATGTAAATTTATGGAAATAGTAGAACAGTACACTACAACTGGATAAATTGTTTATGTGTTTAAATTTTGGCAAAAATAAGTAAAACAATAAGTTTACCCTAGTAAAAAGTTAATTACCCAAAATTAAAACTAAAATACTTGAACTTATATCTACAGACCTAGTAAATAAACTGGCGTGTATAAAAATAAACATCATGTAAAGCAAACACATACTAATAAAAAAAACAAGTGGATAAAATAAAAGCTGTATACTCCTGCAGTTTCAGTTGCTGATTGTTTTGTGGTACATGACTCTTCTATTTTCCTTCTTGAAATTTAGAAAATTACCAAGGAAATGGATGACTTTCTGCAAAAATTGAAGCAAAAGACCAAAATTGGAGTGGTAGGCGGTTCGGACTTTGAGAAGGTACAGGAACAACTGGGAAATGACGGTAATTCTACATTGCTAATTACATTTTGGTCAGTGAGAAACTGAAAGTGTAAATAAGAAAATGTAGAATAGATAATGTGAAACAGGAAGAAAAGGTCTGAAGAGGAAGAAGTGGGAGGGATAGATGAAAGCAAAGAAGGGAAAGGAAAAAATAGGAGAAAAGGAAAAAATTGAACCAAAATCTTTGTAAATAGGAAGGGGTGGAGGGATTGAAGGGAGGGCAGGGGAGTGGGGAAAAAATAAGAACCAAGACACTTCATGTAAAAATACAAGATCCCAGTGATGAATGTCATTGTATACCTAAAATGTACCGATAAAATTAGTGAAAAAAATTACATCTTGTACATTTTGGTCAAAGATTAACTTCTCCTGAGGGTACTGGAACCTGTAACAGGGTCCTCGGCATCCCAGACCTTTATCCATATGTGGCACACTTTCCTCTTCCTTCTTTGGGGCAGTGTTTTCTCTGCCTCTGTATTTCCTTTGCTTTTAATCCTATCAATAAAGCTTTGGGGTTGTTGGCGGAGCACTTTACTCTGATTTGTGGGCAGATTCACCTAAACAGCAGTGTCTGCTACTGTGCACAAGGCTCTTGCCTGGATTAGTTAGTTGCTTGTCCCCACCGTGCGGGCCTCAGCACAGGCTCCACCTGCTGGCCCTCCTGCTCACCAAGGTGTAGACGTGGCCCTCTGGATCTAAGCACCTCCTCTCTATTGCCCTAATCCAGTGTTTCCCAGAGTTCAGTGGGCTCCGTCCCTCCCCAAACCAGAATCTCCAGCACAGGACCCCAGAAACTGGAGTCTTACTGGCTTCTTCCCTGGAGATTATGACTCAGCGAGTCTGCAGGACCTGGGAGTTGTATTTTACTGTGTACTCCAAAAAGATTCTGGTGAACAGCCCTGCTCAAGTAGTGCTCTCATTTTTAGAAACTTTGGTTCTGTGTTTGTCTTAAAGACCAGAACTGTGTGGGTTTTTTCATCTCTGTGGCCTCGGGGTCTCTGTGGTGCCTGGCCTGTTAGAAAGAGTGGCTGGAGGGGTAGATTCGTGAACTGTGCTTTTAATCCCTGTAACCCAGTTTACACTGTGGTGAGAAGGAGGCCCAAAGTGCTCTCTTGTCTTAGAACCAGCTCTGCTAGAGCAGACTTGTAGGTGTTGACATTTGGGGCCAAACAGTTCTGTTATGGGGGTGCTGAGCTTTGTAGGATGTTTAACAGTGTCCCAGGCCTTTCTCACTAGATTCCCACAGAGCATACACACACGTACACACACAGTTTTGACAACTAAAAATGTCTTCACACATTGTCAGACATCCCCTCTGGATAACACACCTCCAGTTAGGAACTCTGATTTTTTTTTTTCCTTATATAAATAGAGAGAGAGGGGATTGAACCTGGGGCCTTCATACTGAGCTCCATTCTCAGCCTATTTGTTATTTTGAGACAAGATCTCGCTAAGTCTTCAAGTTGCTCAAGTGGGATTTGAACTTGTGACCCTCCTGTCTCTGCCTCCTGTAGTGCTGGGGTTAAGGTGTATTCCATCATGCTTGGCAGGAACTCTTGTGTGTTTTGTTTATTTGTTTTTTGTTTGTTTGTTTTTTGAGACAAGAGTCATGCTGGATAGTTTGGGTTGGCCTCATACTTACTGTGTAGCCCAGGGCAGCCTTGTAGGCACAGTGACCCTCCTGCCCCAGCCCTAGTGTGACCACACCCTGCTCTGTATGACATATCCACAATGCAATTCTGTGTCCACTGCGCTGCACCATCGTTACTGAGAGAGCAGTCTGTACTCTCTCTTAAAGCTCTCTGTTCCCCTTAACTGTCCTAGTAGCTGCTCTGTTTAGAAATGTCATGAACTACACAGTGGACACATTAAGCTCCAGAAATCTGTCACTTAGTGTTGATTGGCCTTTCTGCCTCTGGCGGTGTGTTTAACAGCACAGTGAGAGGTATCGTGTCAGCGAAGGACAGTGTACGTTCCACTCAAAGTAGAGAAAGCCGAAGGCCTGTCTGCATCACATGTTATGAGTGGAAGGGTCCCACCCAATGTACAGTAAGCAGTGGGGTGCAGGGGCACTGGCCCAGGGAATCTGAATTTTGCCAAGGGCCTGAAGTTTGAGAGTCCTTTTCTTCAGGTTATGTGATACTCTCCACATCTGGCTGATTGTAAGAAGCACCTAGACAGCTTTTTAACAAAATAATAACATTTTGCTTTTGCTCTGGCAATTCTGATTTGGACAGCGTGAAAGCAGAGCATGGAAGTCAGCATTTGCACTGACTGCCCTCGTGCTTCTGGTTCGTGGCCAGGTTTGGGAGCCACGATGGACCAGCGCCCTCCCTCCAGCAGCTGCACGCAGGGACGCGGAGTAACCCAGCACCAGGCTTCCAGTCTCCCAGCCAGGCGTTAGCCTTTAAATTTGCAACCGAAGAGCCATTTTTTCTTTTCTTTCTTTTTTTTTATAAGGAGCTTTTCCTCCTTCTCCCACTCTGTTGAGATTGTCCGACTGAAGTTTAGCACTTTTATGATGATGAATGTTAGGGAACAGAAATGCGTATTTTGATTTATTTGCATTCTGAATTTTCTTTTGTTTTGGTTTTAGTGGTGGAGAAATATGATTATGTGTTTCCAGAAAATGGCTTGGTAGCGTACAAAGATGGGAAACTCTTATGTAAACAGGTATGTTGTTATGTATCTGAACTACTGTTTACTACTACTGAAATATTTCAAGCTGGGCATGGTAGTGCATACCTATAATCCCAGCCCTTGGAAGGCTGAGGCAGGAGGATCACCACTAGTTTGAGCCTAGCCTGGGCTACATAGTGATTTCAAGGCCAGCCTGAACCATATATCAAGACCTTGTCTCAAAAAAACAAATAAAATGAAACATTTATAAGGATGTTTGACATTGAATGCCTCTGGGTAGGCACATTGAGAAACTGAGAAAGAAGTGAGAATAGATCATTATTCTGTATTCTTTGTTAAGATTTGAATCTTGAACCATGTGACTGTTATATATCGCAAATTGATAACTAAATTTTTATATTTGTTTTTTAAGGGTACTAAAATCTAATATTTTTATTGCAATAGCAGGAACTAGGGCAGGCTACCTCACTTGTAAACAGCTTGAAGAGGGGCCAGGGATTTAGCTCAGTGGTTCCACCACCTGCCATGCAAGCACAAGGACCTGAGTTCGATCCCCAGTACAAAAAAAGAAAAAAAAAGTCTTGAAGAGGTAGCGCGTAGCTTTTAGTAGCATAGGATCATTATGGTCAGACATAAGAGAAAGCTAAGGCAGAACAAATGTATTTTCTACTCATCTCTACTCATGTTATAATTGAGTAAAAGCAAGAGCAAACCCGGGCGTGGTGGCGCACCCCTATAATCCCAGCACTCGGGAGGCTGAGGCAGGAGGATCGCTGTGAGTTCGAGAGCAGCCTGGGCTATATAGTGAGTTCCAGGTCAGTCTCAACTACATAGTGAGACCCTGCCTCAAAAAACCAAAAGAAAGGTTTTTGACCCAAGCCTTCATAGTTTGCCTACTGTTTGCAACCTGAGGAAAGGAAAAGAAATAGAACAGCAGTGGGAGTGTCACTGACCTTGGCGCATCAGCCTAGTGACTTTCAAGCACTAGGGGCTAAAGACCAAGGTTTGCTGTAAAGCTGTTTTGAAAATACATCCTGATAAATAAATAACTGGAGTTTTTTTTTTTTAATCTAGAATATTCAAGGTCACTTGGGTGAGGCCCTAATTCAAGATTTAATCAACTACTGTCTAAGCTACATTGCAAAAATTAAACTCCCAAAGAAAAGGTGGGTTTGCTTTTAGCAAAGGAGTTCTGCTAAAATGTGGAGTCCTGTCATTTGCTGGGTTAATGCGTAGGGACGTGCACTTAGAAAGGGATAACTGGAAATGCTGTACCAAGCCAGCGGTGTAAGGGTGACTGTACAAATGACCGCAGGTCCACAGGAAGTAAGTCTGTGGAAAGCACACACCTTCAGAGGAAAGGCCTGTGGGACTGCACGTGAGAAGGGTAACAGGCGGGTCTCACCGCTGCCTCCCAGCTCCCCGGATGTCGGACCGTCCGCGGTAGGCGGCTCGAGTAGCTGCCCCGCCAGGCCCGGAGCCTGCGAGCCCATTCGGAGTTGGCAGAGGCTGTGCCCACCCTCCAGGGCTTGCCTCCCCCTCCCCAGCCCCTGGCTGATGGGGTGTGTGAGGCAAGGGCAGTGAAAGCCAGGTCTCCTGGTCCCCTCTGGTTTTCCAGAGAGTGACAAGTGGTTACGGCCTTGCTGCTTTCCCTTGGGAATCAGCAATGCGCCCCAGGAAAATGTTTCTACGAGAAAAACAATGGAGATTCACATACAGATATTCTCACACTGAGTTCTGGAACTGAAAGAGAAGCTGGAGGTCTGCATCCATTCATCCGCTCCAGAAATCCTAACAGAAAATGAAGCCCTATTCTGAAATGAAAGCTGTTTTGCGTAGGACCACATTTCATTTCTGCACAAGGGACAGTTGAAGCAGAGACAGCAGGAAAGAGGACAAAAGAAAAATGAAGGGATAGGAAGAGAAACGGAAAGCTGCAGCACAAGAACATGCATCAGAAAGAGATCAAAGGGCCGGGGATTTAGCTCAGTGGTTCCGCCACCTGCCTCGAAAGCACAAGGTCCAGTGTTCAATCCCCAGTACCGAGAGAGAGAGAGAGAGAGAGAGAGAGAGAGAGACCAAGACAGACTTAGTTATGGATAATGAAAGGCCAAGAGCCACCCTCAGTCACAGGAGAGTAGACACAGAGATACAGATCCTGCGTGTAGCATTTACAAAAGATGGGGCACAGGGAAAAATAGAATGAGGCGTACAAAGAGAAAGAAAGCAGCACCCTTTAACGGGGGACAGTATCCCCTTTAGGCTATCACCAAGAAAAGCCATATCGCATTTAAAGAAACATGGCACAGCCAGGCATAATGGTGTGTGCTTGTAATCCCAGCTACTTTGGAGGCTGAGACAGGAGGATCACAAGTTCAGCCAGTCATGGGGGCACTGCCTGTAATCCTAGCATTTGGAAGACTAGGAGGATCCCTGCAAGTTTAAGGCCACCCTGAACTTCATAACCAGACCGTGTCTCAAAAACATAAAACAGGGTCGGGGATTTAGCTCAGTGGTGCCACTGCCTGCCTTGCAAGCACAAGAACCCAATTTCGATCCCTGGTACCCCCCTGTCCAAAAAAAACCAAACACATACAAAATGAAAAACAGAAAGTAAAACTTAAGTTTGAGACTAGCCTGTTAGTAGACCATCACAACAGTCTCCACTACAATGTTAAAAGGGGGGAGGGGCAGAGGCATTCGGGAGGCTGATGCAGGAGGATCACCTCAAGTTTGATGGTAGCCTGAGCTACATACTGAGTTCAAGGCCAGCCTGAAGTACATAGTAAGACCCTGTCTCAAAAAACCAACCAACCAAATTGTATACATACATACATACAAAGGATTCCTGCACCCACCTCACAGCATGGCTGGGAGAACTAGGTGAGAATATTTTCAAAAATACATGCCAAACTATGTGCTGGACATAAAAAAAAAAGAACAAAAATCCCAGACTTGAAGTCTCTTAACTGGAAACTTCCAAGCCAGGCCCTACACAGTGCCAGTTCTTAAATAAAATCCAAATTAGTTGCTGTCATTTCAAAACTGAGTCTGATTTCTCTTCAAAACATCTGCCTTTCTGGCTTTTGCTGGCGAGAGGAAGACCTAGGCACCTGGTCCTGCTCCCTTGTCCCCAGCCCCATCCAGCCCACAGAACTTGGTACCCTTTCTGCCCGCTGCAGACATGGAGTGGGGTCTGCCCCTCCGCTGGCCACTGTCACCCCCTCAGTCCCCTCCAAGGCTGGGGTGATGTGCCTCATCGTACCCGCAGTGGGAAGATCGGCCGTGTCCTAGAGGTGAGAGGTCAAGGCCATTCCTTTGACGTTCATCTCCTTCCCAGTTTTCAGTAGTCAGAATGCACAGCCAGTGTCCCCACTGAGCTCCCCACCCAGCAGGAGCTTCCCCGTGCTGGGTGGGCGTGGGTGAGACGGGTGGCCTGATGGTGTTGGCAGCCGGTGTGCCCGGGTTCCTTATATCCTATTCCGCTTATGTTTATATGTTAGAAATTCTCCGTAGTGAAAGGTTAAAATACACATATATCCCAGTCCATTCCATAGTTTCTTTGGGCTAAGGATTAATGAAGGATTTTTTTTTTTTTTTAAGGATGAAGTATAATGTTGCCCTCAAAGTACTTTTAGGCTAACAAAGGAGACCTATGTGCACAGCTGCAGTTGCAGAATAGCATAAGATACTTGGTGAACTCAGGAAGCTAAACTGAGACTCACTTGATCAGCATTTGTCCGTGTTTTGCACGAATATTAACCATGTGCTCTCCCTAAGTCAGGCAAAGGCAGGAGAACCCCAGATAGCCAGGAGTCTTGATAAACTACCCTAATCCCTGTTTTTCAGATGACTTCCGTCCACTCTTTGGAAATGAGTAGTACGTCCTTGATTTGGAGGAAATAACGGAGCTTTGTTTCTGCTCTCGTTTAGGACTGGTAGCCCTAGAGTCGCCCCTGGGAATGGTCAGCGGTCCCCATAGTCCCTCAGTGGCCATGTTGATGTTGCACAGGACGGGGCTGGGTTTCCACCATCTCTGGGTCAAGCTGGACATGGGGTCTTTGGAAACTTTTATTAGACGCTTGTGTCTCATGTACTATTTACTACTTCCTTTGCACGTTGGGCACAGCAGGGGGCAGGTTCCAGCTGCCAGAGTTTGCAGCTTCTACGTTATTTGAAGAATATTCAGTTACTTCCCAGTTTCCAAACTGACTTTACATAGAGTGGTACTTTTGCTCTTCACAAAACCTTTCAGAGGTCACCAGGGCAGTGCCGCTGGCCTCTTTCTGTAGGTGAGTAAACAGAAGCTTGGGTGCCCGGGGTCAGACAGCCTGTAAATAATTAGAAGCCACAGCACCTGGCATGTGGCTTCTAATTACTTAGTAGTGGCGGGTAGCTGGAGATCAGGATGTGTGATTAAAACAGTAGGCAGAGACCAGCGAAAATACTCAGTTGGTTTTTTAGCAACACCGGAGAGTTTGTAAAGTGCACGGCTTGTCACAAAATGGTGAAATTTCACTTGTAAGAATGAATATCTAGCTCCCACTTTCTCAGTTTTAGAAAGTGTTGAGACTAAAACTAGAAACATGGTATTAAAAAAAAAGGTTTCTAAATATCCTGTAAGTGAGGTGCGTTGGGCTGTTCTCATTCTCTGGGATAAGACCAGACCTTTGGTTTGTTTGTTTTGTTTTGTTTTTTGAGACAGGGTCTCACTATGTAGTTGAGACTGACCTGGAACTCACTATGTAGCCCATGCTGCTCTCAAACGCACAGCGATCCTCCTGCCTCAGCCTCCTGAGTGCTGGGATTACAGGCGTGCACCACCATGCCCGGCTAAAACCAGACCTTTGGGAGCATCAGCCACTGTGTAAATCAAGCCTCCTCAGCTCTTACTGAGGCTCCTGGATGATTCTCATTATCTCCCGTGTAGCTTTGCTTAATACAGTCAGTTTTTTTAATAGCTCACTGGCAAAATAAATGTCTGGGAAGTGTGTTTCTATACTCATTAGGGAACCAGGGGCAGCTCCTGTAATGCCAGCGGTCAGTTTTGTATCTCTTTATTACCCATATCTTCCCAGCACCAGCACTGTCCAGTGTAAACATAATGTGAGCCACGATGGAATTTTAAATTTCCCGTAGCCACATAAAAGCAGAAAGGAATAGGTGAAATTCATTTTTGAGTAATTTATCTGTAGCCCAGTATATCCAAGATAACATTTTAACAAACAGTAGCAGACGTTATTGGTGATGATTATACTCCTTTTTCTTAGTATGTCTAAAAGCGCCTCAGTGTGGCTGAGCCACATTTCCAGGCTCTGATCCTGTGCTGTTGAAGGTAATGGTGGGGTTCAGCTCTGAGAAACAGAACGCACTCCCACACACACCCTTTAGAACCGCTCAGCTTTTAGCCTGTTCACTGTCTGTAATGCCGCCCAGAGAAGTGCGGTGTTTCAGGGACCCTCTGTCCCCTCTTCCTCCCCAGAGGTACTTTCATTGAATTCCGAAACGGGATGTTGAATGTGTCCCCTGTTGGAAGAAGCTGCAGCCAAGAAGAACGCATTGAGTTCTACGAACTCGATAAAGTGAGTCCTTCTGGTCCTTGGGAAATGGCTGAGTTTATAAACATCAGATAAGATGTGTGACTTTGTTACCAGAATTTCAAATGCTCCTTCTCTGTTGCTAGACGATGACAATCGCTATCTTCTTATATTTCTAGAAAGAAAATATAAGACAAAAATTCGTAGCGGATCTGCAGAAGGAGTTTGCAGGAAGAGGCCTCACGTTCTCCATAGGTACGACATAGCCAACTGTGTTCCAGAATTTGTACCCTTGTAGCAGGGGTTGGTTGCGGGCCCTTGTGCTATGAGATTGGACCATGCTCTTTCAGGGTTAGGTGAGCAGGAAGCTTATGTGAACCGTGCAGTCTGAAGGGGGAGCCGGTCACTTTCTTGTGCATGATCAGCTGTAACAGAGTTTGCCCAGCCAGCCAGCCAGCAAATTCTTCCTGACTGTTGTGTCTGGTCCTTTTCCAGTACCAGGGACGGAACCTAGGGCCTCAGGCATACTAGCCAAGTGCTCTACCACTGAGCTACTCTGCCCGGCACTTTTTAGAATTTTTTTTTTTTAACCTTGAGATAGGGGCTCTCAGAGTTGCCCAAAATAGACTCAAACTTGTGATGCTCCTGCCTCCAGCTCCTAAGTAGCTGCAGTTATAGGCATGTGCCCCTGCACCTTACTCTGTGTCTGTTTTTACACCCTTGGCCGACAGGATTCTTCCTGCCTGTGCTTGTCTCCTTGGTCAGGAGAGGAGCTTCTTGGTGCTTCAAGAGTAAGAACTTATCCTCAAGCATTGGAGCAAGAGAGAAGCACTGTACTGAACTCCAGAAGAAAGACAGAATGGGAACCTCTTAGAGGAGTTAGACCACGGTGGTACACACCTGTAATCCAGGAGGCTGAGGAGGGGGATCATCACAGTTCAAGGACAGCCTGGGTTACATAGGGAGTTCGAGGCCGGTCTGAGCTACACAGGGAGATCACAATAATAATAATATTATTATTATTATTATTGGATTCATGCAGTATCTCAACAGCAAGGAGCTTATCATAGAGGTAGTTGGGTTGCTTTTACAGAGGAAGAAACCCAGGCCCAGAAAGGTGAAGAAACTTGTACAGGTTCACAAAGATATGGCCAGTGTGTGATTTCTAGTCTCTGGATGCAGAGTTCTTGCTGCAGCACAGACATCTCAGTCTTGGCATATGGCAGGATATGCCTGGCAGTTGCTTTAAACAAACTCGTTTCTCCTATCAGTTATGGGAATCTTTTTTTTTTGGTATCAGGAATTGAACTTGGGTCCTTGTGTGCGAGAGGTAGGTGGTGGAACCACTGAGCTAAATCCCCAGCATGGGAACCTTTACTTAAAGCCTTCTTGTTGAAGTAGCTTTAATAAATGTACAGGCTGTAGGAAGTGAAATTACAAAGGAATTTTGCATAATGAATATTTGAACAGGTGGGTTTTCATGTATTCCTGAACTGTGACATGGACATCTTTTCTAAAGACCTTGGAAAGGTTTTTTGTTGTCCATAAAAGCTACCTGTAGGGCTGGGGATATAGCTCAGTGGTATCACCACCTGCCTCGCAAGCAAGTCCTATCCCCAGTACCAAAAAAGAAAGCTATCTGCAAATCACCTCCAGTGTGATTTTCATATTTCCTACAAGATGAGCCGGATGCAGCTTGCTTGCTGTCATTTTGCCCAAAGGGTGTGTTGAGTAGGAGACAAGTGCAGTTAACTGAATGAAGTGTTTGGCAGGTGTTTCATGAACGAACTTCACTTAAACCCACTTGCTTGACAGAGCCCTTATGTACAAGTACATGTCTCATTCTGACTTGGCATTCTCTGTTAATTTTAGATCCTGATTAGATAATGTTGGGGAACAAAAACAATATAGAATTAATTTCTAGAGCCTGTCCCTAAAGTAGTGTAAGTAGCAAGCTATGGTATAAAAACACAGCCTTGGACACTGTAGTTCCCGGCAAAGAGCAAATTGTAAATTTTCCTCAGTGATTTTGTGTGTGTGTGTGTGTGTGTGTTTGGTGCTTGGGATAGGACCCAGATCTCACACGTGCCAGCAGGCTTTCTCTGTGAGCTGCACCCCCACCTGCTGTGAGCCTGTTTGTCACCCTTAGCTTTTGTGTGTATTCTTCCCCACCTGGCAGGAGGCCAAATCAGCTTTGATGTCTTTCCTGATGGATGGGATAAGAGGTATTGCCTGAGACACGTGGAAAATGACGGTTATAAGACCATTTACTTCTTCGGAGACAAAACTATGCCAGTAAGTTGGAAAATGTTTTTGCAATTTTGTTATTCAATTCAGGCTCGAAAGGGGTAAGAGCAGCACTTACGCTATTTTCCCTGCATACACACTTCACCTGCCAGCCCCAGCTGAGTGATGACTTCTGCCCTAGCTTGGGGTGTGCAGAGCCTCCCTCCCCTCCCAGCTCAGACACCCAGTGCCCAGGGGAGGCAAGGATCAGGCTGCATGTTAGTTGATCCCCTTGGGTTTGGCTTTTGAATTAAATATTGCCCACTTCAAGTGCCTTCCAGAGCACCAGTCTCTGGAGGGGTTGTCAAGCCCTCCGTATTTCAAAGCCCTTGCCATTTTTATCTTGTTATTGTACTATATCTCCACCCACAGCTTTCACTGTAAATTGAGCACTGGAAACCAGGTGATGGGACGATAGGGGCTCTCATAAGCCTAAAACTCAGGAGAGGGCATCAGCTAAGAGCTAAGAGGCAGGGTCAGTCCCGAGTGTCAGGCACAGACAGTACTGGGAGCTTTTGGGGTAAAAGGCGTCAGGAATCCCAAGTCCAACACAGAATCTAAGTTGGAAACTGAGCATATCCCATGGGAAAGGCCAGTGTGGACAGGAAGGGTTCCTAGAGCAGATTCCCCAAGCCACAGTGGCAGATGGGACGGTCCCTGGGTAGGCAGATCCTTCTGCCCAGAACCTTGAGCCTCAGCACCAGCTCCTCGCTGCCTGTTCTTGGTCTTGCCATCTCAGTGCGCCGTATCCCTTCACACGCCTCTGCTCCCCTCGCGCATGCTGCTAGGGAGTCCGCGCCCTTGCCGTCAAGGATTCCAGGTCAGGCTGTGTGAACATCCTGCACCCAGCAGGTGCAGTGCAAATGCTGCAGGTCCAGAATCCCTCATCCCTGTCTTCACTGGTCCACTCCAAAAACCAGCTGCTCTGCCAAGGTCCACCCTCCGGCGTTCTCCTTCCAGCAAGGCCCCCGGTGCGAAGGGGACTCGGGAGCCTAGGCACACTTCTTGCTTTCAGAATGAAGTTGGATCTGAAGGGGTGAGTGACATAACTAATGACAGAGCAGAAGAGACCTGTCAGCTCATTTGTTTGTTTTACATTGCTTTATTAAGGTATATGATATACAGAAGCTGCACATATTTATTTAGTAAGTGAAGTTTTGATAAGTTTGGAGATCTCTGTGCCTCTTTGGCTTTAGGGGGCTTAGTGGTGTCTTTATAACCCTTCATATGAGATCAGCCCTCTTAGCAAAATTTAAATGGACACTATAGTATTGTTAACTATAGGCACTGTGAACTTGATTGACTAGAACTTGATTCAACTTATATAAGTGAAATTTTATAACTCCTCCCCTCTGCCTCCTTTCTCTGCTTCTGTGAGTTGTAATAGTTGTTTATATCGCTTAGTATAATGTCCTTTGAGTTAATTCGTATTGTGCAAATGACAGGATTTCCCTCTTTGTTAAGGCTGTGTAATATTCTATTGTATAAGTATACATAGATTCTTTATTCATCTGTTCTTGTCTCGGCCATTAGAAATGCTGCCATGGGGGCTGGGGATTTAACTCAGTGGTTCTGCTGCCTGCCTCACAAGTGCAAGGACCCGAGTTCAATCCCCGGTACCAAAAAAAAAAAAATGCCCCCTGAACAGAAGTGTAAGTATCTCTGTAACATCCTGATTTCATTCTTTGGGCTATACACTTGTGGATTAGAGTTACACATAAGACTAGAAGCTGTAACCCTCCTAGAACAAAAGGAAAGGGACGCTTGTCTTCCCAATGATTTCTGAAATCTGACCCCAAGAACACACACAACAAAACCAAAGTGAGCAAGTGGAATTACCTCAAGCTAAACGACTTCTGCACAGCAACAGAAAGGGTTGAGTGAAATGGCAGCCTGTGCAATGGGAGAAAATACATGAAAACTATGTCTGTTAAAGGGATAATATCCGAAATATCTAAGGAACTCCTACCACTCAAGAGCAGAAAAACCAAATAACCCAATTTAAAAATGGAGAATATACATTTCTCCAAAGAAGACATACAGATGGCCCACGGGTATATCAAGAAAGGGTCAGCGTCACTAATCATCAGGGTCATGCACATCCAAACCACCGTGAGATCTGCTAGAATCAGTATCTGCTAGAATGGCTGTTAAAGAAAGGAGGAAAAAAGAACAAAATCTAAAGTGTAAAAACGCACTATCTGATATGTCTTTTAAAACTTAAGGTAATAAAACCTCACCCAACATTTAAGGAATGCCAGCAGTTTCCTTAGTCCTTGTGGCTTGGTATCATTTCTTGCAGCAGGAGAGGTGAGCTATCAAAACATATACAACAGATTTTCCAGTAATGAACTTTGTGGCGTGTGCCGGTGGTCATCTAGAAGCCTCAGTTGGAATGGAAAGCAGTTTGAGGGCAGACAGAAAATAATCAGAGAATGTGCTGTTTGCCATATGTTGATTTTTTTTTAATTATTTGCCTGCTTTTTAAAAATGAGTGCTATTTAATGGAATTTTCCCCAGATTGTGATTACTATACATTCACTGTAGAAAATTAGAAACTCTATGATGAAAATCACCTGTAATCTCAGCTGAGGAGCCTCTTCCTAATCTTTATAACTAAGACCCCACAAGTGAGATCTCTTCATGTTATTTTTAGGTGTTTTTTTTTTAACATGTTTTATTTTCCCTCTATTGGTGAGTATTCTTTGAAAAGGTTTTTTTCCCCCACAGTACTGTCCTCAGGGGACACTATCCCACTGCGCTACATCCCCTGCCCTTTCATTTTTTTTATTTTGAGACAGTCTTAAATCTTTAACCACTTCATAGTCCAATTATTTAAATAATTGGATGACCAAAATTTGCATCGTTTTTTCATTAATCATTATAATAGAACAAGAAATACAGAAGCGGCAATTTTATCAAACTTACTCCATACAATAATCGACTGGTTGGCAAGACACCTGTGAGGTGAGGCTCTGGATGGTCAGTACAAGAATTCTAGTGATTGTATAACGGTCTTTCATTTTAGCAGAGCCTGTTTACCCACGTCCCTAATAGAGGCACACTGGTTGAAGTAAGAGTTTACTGTTGTAACTAATTCTACAGTGTACATCCTTGCATTCCCCTTCAGCAGGTTTCCTGGATCTAGGACTCAGCAGTCCAGCACCTGAATCTTTAAATCACATTCAGTTCTTGAAAGCTTTGTCTTAGAACAGTCCACCTGCTAGCTTTAGCCCTTTGACAGTGGATGTCAGATGTTTATGTAGCTTGATGTTTATGAAGCTTGCTGACTTTCATGCTGAATTGTATGTTTTTGCCAGCTTCCAGGGAAATGGCACCCGAGCTTTTGTCATAAAAAGCCATTTCCTTGGCAGGCACTGAAGAGCTGCCCGGCAGCCCAGAGAGCAGTGAGGAGGCGAGGCAGTGGCCCTCACTTTCCCAGGTATGTTAGTCCTAGGAACCTCGTATTGCCACACCGCCTGTGGTTCCTAAGACCTCTAAGACCTGGCTCCAAATTCAGCTGTGAGGCCCTGGGCCAGGCCCGGAGGGAGAGGGACGGTGAGGGAACTGAGACACACCCCTGAACTACTCTGGCTTCCTGGGGCTACCAGCTGGATCAGTGTCCCCTGCCTCTCTGACTTCTCAGGCTAGGGAGCATCTACGGGTTGAGTGCTGCTGGTAAGGCTTTAAGGCCGACACAGCTGTCCGTGAGCATTAGCAGCTGATGTGCCTCTGCCTCAGCACTGCCATGTAGGGGAATCAGCTCAGCGTGTTCATGCGTGTGAAGGAGCACACAGAGGACCAGGGGCCGGAACAGGGCTGGCCACGGACAGAGGGGGCCAGAGCAGTGATTGTAAGCGAGTGAAGCAAAGCACAGAACAGTGTAAGTAATGTCTACATCTTTGTCTAAAGAGAGGGAAACAGTCTCTTCGGATTACAGAGAGTCTTAAAGGTTAAAAAAAACTGAGAGCAGGTACCACATAAGTAGGAGGGGTAGGAGAGAGACACCACCAGGACGTGAAGGCCCACGAAATGGCATTTCACTCTCCAACACAGAATGGTGGTCTGCTTTACACTGACTCAGAGGCATCGCCAAGGCAGCATGCGGCTCTGCCATCTGCCACCACCACCGTGACTGCATGCAGGCTGTCTCACTGACAGCCTCACTGTCCTCTGCCCTGCGGAGCCACAGGACAATGGGGCAGGGTTCTAGGAGGAGAGGGGTGGCCCAGGCCTTGTTCAGGCATAGCTTTCTTGGTGGGGACTTCCTTGCAACTAACTCCGCTTCATTTAATGTTACAGGAAAATTGCTCAAAGGCTCACCTTGGGGTCTGCCAAGGGTCCTTGGAAAAGGGTGCCCTTGCCAAGGGGGCACCTTACTAAGCTATATAATAATTAGTGGGCACTGCCCTCCTATCATGAGAAGCTGGTCTTTGCCATCCTGGACTGAGTCACCTGTAGCTCTCTCCTGCCAGAGTGCACAGAAAAAGTTTTCTGGACCGATTTGTCTCATTGCCATGCCTTTGTCTCTGAGGCAGACTCCTGAGACCCAGATCTCCTGTGGCTGGTACAGGTGTAGATCAACTTGCTGGGGCGAGGAGGGACCTGCCAGGCAGACTGCTGTTCCTGCTTCCTGAACTGGCTGGAGGTTGAACCAAATTAGAGGGCCTCAAGCCAGCTCAGAGATGTTCCCCTAGCTCCCGCGTGGGAGGACACCAAGCAGGTGTGTGCCACGCTCTTCAGACACTCCCTGGAGTCCCTGCCAGCCTGCCCTGCTCCTGAGCACCACTGCCCATGCATGGCCTGTTGCTCCTGAGAACAGGTCTCCCACGAAATGAGCATGGTTCGCCTCCATCTGCACCGAAGCTCTTGTGTTCAGGGAGGCAGATTCCAGGCCCACGGAGTGTGGCTGGCTCTGTGGGGCCACATAATTGGCATCTCCTGGATATAGTACCATGCCACAGCTGGCACACAGCTTGTCTTGCAGATGAGATGGCATAAGGGGGCCGTGCCTCCAGCTGTCCACAGATAGGGGGGTCCGAGGTTCCCCTCAAGACCTCGTCTAATATACAGGTGGGCTCTCCCCAAGTGTGCATTGGAATCACCTGATCACTCAAAATATCCCTCCCTGGACCTGGGCTTGTCCTGCAAAAGGCATTTTTAAGGCCCTTGTGACTTTCTGTAGGCAGAGGAGCTGCTGCTGTAGGCACTTCGAGGACCTCCCACTCTTGTCTCTTGGCCTCTGCACCCATAATACCTAAAAACTGGATAAATGTATCACAGGGCCCAGATGCTAAGTGTGCATGGGCAGCAAGTCTGGACTATAAGCTACAGCAGGTTAGCTGTAGATGTCTGCTACCAAGTACCCGCTGGCCTTCAGTGGGATAGGGACGCAGCCCGTGGACACTTTCCCTCTCTGGGCCTGCATCAGAGGATGGCCATTCACCACTGAACAGGGAGCGCTGTGCCTCATCTGCTCAGACCTCGGGCCTCAGGGATTTCCATAGTCAGAGGCTGACCTCACTGAGCAGAGACCCCTCCTGGGGGCCTGCTGAGTACACAGCCGGAAATGAATGTGCACTCACCCCCCACCTTCCCTCGTCTTCTCTGCAAATAGAGTTTTTAACTCTGAGCTGGGAGACTGCAGGTGGCTGCACACTGGGTATGCAAATCCAGTTCCTTGAAGCCTTACTGTCACCAGCCGGGGCTTGGTGTGGCTTCTGCTCACCTGTGCTGGGGTGCAGGCATCCATCGGGCCACATCTTAATCACCCACGCTCTGTCTTCCCCAGGGCTTTGTCTTCCCTGGTGGTGGCTCTCCTGTGCCACCCTGACTGGCGGCAGTGCCTCCGGACTCCTCAGCTCCTCCCACGCCCCAATCCAGCCGTGTTGTGCATCATCTCCCCTAAAACCCCAAGTCCTTTATTGAGGTCTGGGGCCCCCACCGGGCCCCTTCTACTTCCCTTCCCCGTGTACCCACAGTCCCTCTTGGCTTCGTCTCACCCCCGCAGGCCCGTCCTCACTTCTTTCCCGTGACAGGTCTCCAGGGATCCCTGATGACCACCTGTGCACCACAGTGGCTCCAGCTTCTGGACCCCCAGCTGGCAGGTGATAGTGCTCCCCAAAGGCTGGTTCAGCCCTTCCTGGTTCCGTGTGGAATCTAGAGGGAACGTGTCCCAGATAAAGGCTTGGTCGTGAAGCATCCACATTTGCCATCATTTACCTGATTTTTACTCCCCATGCTATTCCTGAAAGATTTTAATCCTAAGAATTATTAGACTTGGCGTCATATGTATTTGGGCAGCAGATGCTGGCCACAAAACTCAGGGCCATGTCACTGACCAAAAGCCCTGTACTATACAGAAGCTTGCCCCGAGTTCATGGCCTGTAACGTTCTCCACCCAGCACCTTCCCACCTTGTCCCCTCCCGACATCCTGAACTTCACCTCTACCTGGGAAGCTGTCTAGGAGTGGTTCGTTCTCACAAAAACAGTACTAGTAATTCTGTGCCAATTCACCTTTTAAAACAATGTCACATTGAACTTCACCTCTACCTGGGAAGCTGTCTAGGAGTGGTTCGTTCTCACAAAAACAGTACTAGTAATTCTGTGCCAATTCACCTTTTAAAACAATGTCACATTTTCCAGAGAATTAGTTTTCTCCATACTGACTTCATGTTTTGCACTTTATGAGAAAAATCCAATTGTTCTATACTTTGTGTTGTACATTAATTGACCCCCCTCCCCCAGGTTTAGAGTTGAACAGCTTATTCAGTTTGATGAGAAAAATTCGGGAAATATAATGACAAGAAAAGCAGTGGCCCTCTTGCATGGCTTGGGGCTGCTGGAGCAGCAGGCAGCCTGGCTTGGGAACCTGTGGCCAGTGTGGCAGGTGGGCGGCCTTCAGCTTAATTCCCGGACACGCACCTTAACCTTAGCACGTACCCGTCCTTACCAGACACCTGCATGTGGCCTTTGCAGAAATAGCCTTTTTAACTGGGTGTGGTGGCCACACCTGTAATCTCAGCGTTTGGGAGGCTGAGGCAAGACTGCCGTGAGTTTAATTACAGAGTGAGACCCTGCCTCAAAAAAAATTAAAACATCCTGAGGCTTCAGCGGCCTCCTGTTTTCCAGGATGTAAATCACCCTGAGCCCCTAGAAGCACTCCGGGTGACACTGACTGAAAATGCTTTAAAAGCCATGAGCAGGTGCTAGTGCTCACCTCGGAGGGGCCAGCCTCAGAACTCACTGCCATCTCAACACAGCACTGCAAGCAAGGGCCTTCCATCGTCCCCTCTAGAGTGGCCATTGCCCAAGTCACACACCCTTAGTCACTGTCAGGCCAGGGTCCAACCTGTCCCTCACCCCAGAAACCTCTCACAGCAGGCCAGACACTAGCTGGGGGGCCACTTAAATTGAACCTCAGCTGTGTCTCACCAGCACACGCAGGTGCCCCAGCTCTGCCCGCCAGCTCCTCGTGACTCGGATAAGATCAGGTGCGGCCAAAACAGATTGCTGGCTATGAGAATTGTCACTCACTGTGCTTGCTTTCTTTATAGAAAAATAAGCCTTAGATCTTCACCTCACCGGAGCATCGTGATTCCTTTCATAAGCATAATTACACGTTCCCAGCTTAATTGCAATTCAGGAGGAGGTTAAAATGCTTTTTTCATGTGGCTGCTCTCATGTGGATCCCCTCCTGGAAACAGGCACCTGAAGAAATCCTCCCTGCCCAGGACAGAGTGGAGCTTTAACATTTGTGCTTTGTCTTTGCAGGGTGGCAATGACTACGAGATCTTCACAGACCCCCGAACTGTGGGCTACACTGTGACAGCGCCCGAGGACACACGCAGGATCTGTGAAGGGCTCTTTTCTTAATGCAGAAGAGGAGGGGTCCTGGCCAGGGAGCCTGGAAGGTCACTGGGGAGCAGAGCTGTGGCCCCTCAAGTATGTGCACATCATAGGGACCCCCATCCCCCAGCCTGCTCTATGGCAGCTGCTGGGGCAGAAAAATCACCCCACGTCCCCACCAACTCGTGCCTCTACCTCCAATGCCAAAGCAGCCAGAAGGGAGAAGACTCGTCAGCGCTCTGGGCTGGAGTAGTAGTTCAACCTTAAAGTGCTTGTCTAGGCCAGGTATTTAGCTCAGCGGTACTGACACTTCTTGCCTTGCAAGCCCAGGGTCCCGAGTTAAAAATCCCCTGGTACCAAAAAAAAAAAAAAAAAAGTTGGAAGACCACTACCAACAAAGGACTGTCCAGTCCGAGATCTGCCTGCTGTCCATTCATAGTACACATGGGTTTAAACTGGCCATCATTCTAGAATAGACGTGCCTTGGCCTCCCTCTCTGTGGGTCTTGTGAAAATTTAACAGCTGCTAACGTCCAGATCTCCATGTTGACACAAAGGAAAATCTGATGTTGAGAGAGAAGACAGGCCATCTGCAGCAACCCTGCCTGAGAGGAGCGACTAGAAGCTGGGGTTGTGAGCTCCAGTGACTGGTGGCACCGATTCCCAGCCACTTAGACCCTGCCTGAGGAGCGACTAGAAGCTGGGGTTGTGAGCTCCAGTGACTGGTGGCACCGATTCCCAGCCACTTCCTGTTTGTGAGCCACAGACCTCTGCATGGCCTGCCAGACAGATGGCTGGCCAGGTGACAGCTGACCCGTGGCGTTTGCACCTTGGCTGGCCTAGCGCTCAGGCCAGCTCTGTAGTCACCAGTGAACAGCCTGGAGGACTGAGGACCTGTCCACTCTTTCCAGGGAGGCTGGATGCCCCTAGGCTCACAGCAGCTCACATGGCAGGTGTGGAGTCACCAGAAAACCCTCTCTGGATGGGGCCTGGTTCCTCAGGCGACGGCAACGGTTACGGGAGCAGGAGCTGTACCCTGGGTGTCTGCTTCTGCCTAGGTCCTTGTCCAGACCTTGATTTGAGGGGTGGGAGTGACTACTGCCTCTACCTCCAGGAGATTCCAGAGTGGTTCCTGAGCCACTTTGCAGCATCTGGAAACACCGGGACCCACAACCCCTCCGGGCAGGTTGGTGCCAGGGCCCAGGGACACCAGGTGCTCCCCCCGGATAAGCCTGCTTCCAGACCCTGCCACTCAGCATCGATGGGGTGAAAGCCTGAAGTGGCCCACCCTGCCCCTTCACCCCTCCAGCCTGCACGGGAGGAGGGGGTCGCAGTGTCTCCCTGAGCTGCCCACCCTGTGGCCTGTGCCCTTGCTGAGTCTTGCAAATGGTACCATAACAAAATGCAGCACGTTAAAGCAGCTTCACTGTTTGCTCTTTCTCACGACTTTTCCTCTCTGAGTGGGTGGAGAAGTGAAAAAGCAGCAGTTTTATCTTCTCAGATTCTGGGAGGAAGCCCACCTGATGGCTCTGAAAGGCCGTCTGCTCTGGTGCTTCTGACCCCAGGGCTGTGGGAGGCTTCCCACGTCCCAGGTACACGGACACATCCTCACTGGTCAACGGTTCCCAATTACCTTCCTCTGCACTGCCTCGGTGTCCTCCACCAACCCCATCCATCTGAACTGGACTCTGGGCTCGGCCACACCTCCTCCTGTCCCCCTGCGGCCTCTGTCCCTGTCCCATGCTCCCAGGGATTCCCTGCAACGGCCTCCTAGTGATGACAGCCAAGTCGCCTGAGCACAGCGTGCTGACACCTCCGAGGAGCTGAGGCGGGCGTGTTCCGAGCCAGCTGAGAGCAGCGGCCCAGGTACCAGGCTACGGGGCAGCCGTGACTCAGGGCCCACTCCCTCAGGCCTTGTGTTCATCTCAGGTGGAACCGCACCAGCAGACACGTGCTCTGGAGGAAATGATCTCAGGAAAGCACTCTGAGCAGCGTGTGTGCTATTACAAACTCACGAAGCCTCTGGGAACCCTGTGGGGTGGTAGTCATTCCCCTGGCAGGATAAAGACACTATCACAAGTTTAAATACACGTTGAGCAAGAAGGAACCACAGAGGTCGCGCCGAAGCCAGCACGAGCCTGTTCAGGGTCACCCCTGCCAGCACCACTGAAGCAGACGGACTCAAGGTCAACCAGGGAGGGCTTTCAGCAGCCTCAGGGGAACAGCTAAGCACTGGAGGGTGGGAGAAGCCAGCCTGGAAGGCACGCACAGACCCTGGTCAGCTGATGCCCAGGAGCAGTCTGCCACTGAGGTCTCCAGCTGCCGGCACGAGTGACTGGAGGGGTGGAGGAACGACCAGTCGGACAGACAGTGCCGAAATCCAGTGCAGTCCAGGCAGATGAAGGCCTGAATCACCTCCTGAGGGCTGCTTCCTCTTCCTCCTCCCTCTCCCACGAGCCCACCCATCTCGGCCCCAACCAGGCTGGGCACTACTCACCCCAAGGAAAGGCACCAGCCTCCCATCCTCATAGCACCCCAAAAGAAGTATCACATACAGCTTCACCCCAGGCTGGCTTACCAAACATGTCTTCCACGCCCACCGAGTTTTCCCAGACCTCCCTCTTCCCCTGTATGTAATACTCATTGGGTGTAAGTCAGCTCATCTTAGCTTTTCGAGCTAAGGGCCAACGCTGGCCTCTCCCTACACAGGTTTGGCGGGCTGGCTATGATGTTTTCCCAGTACACTGAAGATCGTACAGAATAATAAAAATGCCCATCTCTATCCCTCTCCCTTGTAACACTGGCTAGGGCAAAACCTTTCCTGCCAGGCACAAGTCCCTCCCAAAGTGGTGGCTGCCATCAGCACTCCACACTCCAGTCCCCGTGCCTTGGGCTGCCACGTGTCCCCACCTGGCTCTGGCTGTCCTTAGTCCCCAGCCCCACAGCACACGAGGAGACACTCCCGCTGTGACCCGAGGGCCCCGAGGGTGGGGACAGCGGTAGTCTCCACTCCCGGCCCACCTGCTGGATGGAGAACCTCACCTCTCAAGACATCTGAGGTGTGAATGCCCCGGGACTGGGGCTGGTCTGCACCTGGAAATCCTGCTCTTCACCACAGGCTGACAGTGGAAAACCGCTCGTCCATACAACATCCTGAACACCACCACGGAGCGTTTATCCACAGCCCAAGAGCTGAAGCCGTTTACCATGCAGGGCCACCTGCTACTCAGCTTTCCTAAGCTGGAGAATGATGGTTAAATAAATGCGAATCCCCGGCTCCTTAAAACGGAACTGCAAAGCAGAAGGTGTTACCTCATTGGGGTGGGGGGCCTGACCTACTGACCCACAAGCTAAGCTCTTGGCAAGCCAGCCCCATGGTGACAAACACAGCCTTACACAAAACAAACTTTATTGCAGGGTGGCTAATGGGAAGCAAGATCTGAATCTGGGAACCCTGCGGTCTGCTCCCAGATCCATCCCCCAGCATCCTGTGTCCCTCCCGATCAGTAAATGGAATCTGAGTGACAGCAGAGAGCATCTCCTTCAGCTCCCATATCCTACACTTCTGGAATACTCCTGGACTGAAAAAGTGTGGTCACCCAGAAAGCTGTTGACAAAGGATTCTGCCAAATGAGAGAAACCAAAGGTCATTTGACAGCAGAATACAGCTCCAAGCTCACCGTGGGGCACAGCCTGCTGGGGCACCAGTGAAGGAGCCACCGCAGGCCACAGTGACCAAGGCAAAAACAAAGCCATAGAGACGCTTGGGGGAGGGAAAGGGGACAGAAGATTCTCAACCTTAGGGAGCCCTCAGCCCTCTCAGCAGAAATGGCTTGGAAGTGTGGTCTGTACTCCAGACAGGCCTCAAAGGAAATGCCACCAGGGAGCCACCCAAGGCCACTTCTTACTCAGCAGAAAAAGGATACCTTGGACCCTGCAGAGGGCACAGCAGAAGGGGAGGGTATCCTTCAAGGGGCACCACAGGCAACAAAAACTGAGCAACTTATGCACACACCCAACATACTTAAAAACATTCCACCAGAAAGGCAGAAAGGTTCTAGCCTTCCATCCCCTTTCAGACAGAGCCTTATCAGGTAGGCCAAACACACCCCAAGACACTTGACGAGGCTGTCAGTGCTTCCGGCATCAACATGGCCCTCCCATCCTCACAGCGCCCCCCAAGCCACCATTAAAGTCTCGCCCCACCCCCCTGTGCATGGACAAGCAAATCTTTAACTAGGCCAAAAATTTCAAAACTTATTACCCAACCACTATTTTCTAATCACACCTAGAGTCAAAACAAACCACTACAAAAGAAATCTTAAGGACCTATCAGCTCTGGAGGACAGAGCGCTGTTATCTTAAAAAAAAAAAAAAAAAAAAAAATCTCTAAACATTTAAGACCACCACCACTGAAAAGCATATTTCTCCAACTTTTCACTGTATTTGGGTATCAGAACACAAGCTACCTGCTCTTTTCTGGATCAAGAAAGTTCTGTTCTGAAACACAGTTGCCCGTCACAAGCCCTTCTCCCACAGCCTCTTCTAATCCACCCCCATGGCCACCCCAAAGAGCTGCTCTCAATGGCTGCTGAGCAGGGAACCACTCACCAGAAAGATGTGAAAAAGCCCAGTGCACTGCACAGCGCCGGCAGGAGATCCTACAGCAGCGGTGGCGAACCTATGGCAGGCACGTGTGCAGCAGCAAGCTGTTTGTATCACTGAAAGCTCTTCAAGGGCCCTAGAGGCACAGTCTTCCTAGACAGGTGGTGGTGATGCCCCACATCAAGGCACCGAAGAGTCAAGTCTGTCAATTCAAAAGTCCCCCGTGTGGCCCCAAAGCCAGATCCCCTGCAACCAACCAAGCAGAGAATTAGCAAACTGCTCTGCCCTGGCCCCAGCAGATGGGGGGCACTGGATGGAAGTCACTCTGTGGAAGTGAGACCGTGTAAGCCACACAGATCTGGGAATGTTTAGCCTCCAACTCAGAGGGAGGGAGAAGAGGGACTCCAGGAAGTTGAGGAGAAAACCACCTCCAACCCACCCCTTGGGCTGGAGCTGGACCCTCTCCACTCAGCCACTAGGGGCACCTCTCCTTTTCAAATGCGTTTAATGCTTTTCAGATGGCAAACACTGATGATGGAGGAGGCTGTGCTGGTGGCCCATGGAGAGCACCACATGCCTGCCCTCCGGTCCCCCTTCCCCTAGGGGATACTTGAAAGGGCCCACGTCCCACCCTTGAAGCCCCATCTCCTGCAGGAAAATGTCATCTCCATCGCAGCCCCGCCTCCTCCTAACAGTCTCCCCCAAGCCCAGGAGGAGGGATGCTCCTGGGCCTCCTAGGAGCTGACGACATGCCCGGACCAGGTCTCGTGCTTGGTGCCTGGTGCCAGGTGGGTTATGACCACTTCCACAGCCTGCAGCTTCTCGTTCTTGGGTGGGATGGAGCACATCTTATAGGTGACCTCGTCGCCTTCCACCGGGACATACTCCCCTTCCACGCTAGGGGGAAGGAAGGAAACGTCAGTGCTCACAGCAGGAAAAGCCCTCGGAGTCAGCCCGAGACTCCAACACCCTGCTCAGCAGAGGGCCACCACGGTTGGTGCCCATCTGAATGACCGCCCAGAATCCCACTCCAGGAACTCGCCCCTCCTGTCCTCCCTATGGAAGGCACCACCACCTGCTCCCAGCCTCAGGGTCCTGGCCATGCAGCCCTGACCACATCCGCTTCTTCCCTGGGTCTGACGCTGGGACCAAAGCAGCCCAGGCACCTGTGGATGCACACCCTGTCACACTAATCACCAACCATGCAGGCAGGGCCCGCTGAAGGGAGGTAGAGGGGACTCCAGCACAGGACTGGAACCACTGCAGAGACCCAGCAAGGCTTCCTGCGCTCCCTCTACCACACCAGCCCTGGTCCCAGGAAACGGACACAGCCTCTGGCCTTCAATTCTCCAAATACTCCCTGCATCCTCCAAGAAAAGTCCCCGTATCCTCCAAGATAGTTCTAAGAAGGGTAGGAGTCACCATCTCAGTGAGACTGATGCCTTGATGCCCCCGGAGGAGAGCCCAGGGAAAAGATCCTTAGCGCCCCGGAGATGGTTCATCAGAGTCTGGGAGACTCAGATGAGTAAAGCTGCAGCCCAGCCCTCACGGTGAACCAGACACTCCTTACTAACCGGTTCTCACAGCACACTGCCTGTCTCTGTGCAGAGGCAGCGTGGAAATACACCTGCACATCCACATGTGTGTTCACACGCAGTCTAACACAGCACACTAGCATCTTTCTCTTGGCTACACGGTATGGAGGCCTTTCAAAGAGAACGGCTACGTAAGAGTGGGGGCAAAGGAAGGCGACTCTCCCAGCACGCAGATGATGTTGCAGCAGGATCTGTTACGTATTCTTCTGTGCTGTAGACTGAAACGGCAAGCTGTACCACTGAGCTACATCTCAGCCCCTTTTCTACTTTCTGTTTTGAAATGGTCTCACGAAGCAGCCCAGGCTGGGCTTGAACTCACAATCCTCCTGCCTCAGCCTCCCAAGTAGCTGGGATGACAGGCAGGCGCCACCATGCCCAGCGGGCTGGGCTCTAACTTCTGTCTGCCAGGTCTGCTGTGCAGAAACTTGCCTGCCACTGCCTGAAATGAAAGGCTGTGGGGGGGCCGGGGATGTAGCCCAGTGGTGCTGCCGCCTGCCTCACAAGTACAAGGACCCGAGTTCGATCCTGGTACCAAAAAAAAAAAAAGGCTGGGGGTGTAGACTGAGTGCAGCTCAGTGGTAGACGGTTTCCCTAGCATGGGCTCAATCTCCAGCCCCCCAAAAAGGGAGGGGTGCTTAGGCCAAAGATGGGTGTTGGTGTCTGGTGTCGTGTATCAGATGGCTACCCAGGAGACCAAAGGTGACTCACAGGGCCCTGGGCACCTTCCAGCCCCCAGGATTTGAGGCCCCATTCTGGGCTGGTGGTTCCTGACACTCAGGAAGGAAGGACGTCAGTGAGTGAGCTGCAGGAGAAAAGTCCGCCCCATACTTCCTTCCTGGAGCAGAGAAGCTGCCAGCCTGCAGCGCCCCCAGCCCACCTCCCCGGATGAGGGCAGAAAATACCTCCCAGGCCCACACGCGCCCCTGACTCAGGACCCCTCCCATCAGCCAGACACACAACCCCACACCGGGTGCTCTGCCATCCCATTTCCACAGGCGTGGCTGAGCGGCCCAGACACCCCACACTTTCCACCAGCCTCGCTCACACGGGGACGTCCCCAACACATGCTGTCGGCGGCAGGGGGACTCACTCAGAGATGTGCAGGAAGATGTCAGGGCCACCGTCCGCCGGGGTGATGAAGCCGTGGCCCTTGGACCGGCAGAAGCACTTACAGACTCCTTTGTAGACAGGGCCCTGGGAAGCCCGCACCGTCCTAACAGAGGGGAAGGCATGAGGGGACCCAGCCTCCACGACAGCCCCTACTCTCCAGGGCACGCCCCACGGCCCCCAACTCCCCGGGGACACAGCTTAGGACAGCGGGTCTGCGGCTCCGAGCAGGAGCCCGACTCGACTCACGCGGAGAATGTCCTCGTCCGGCGGGTGGGCAGGGGGCTTGGGACCACGTCGCCCCGCAGTGGGGATGGGGAGCGTTCTCGGTCCCGGGGGGCGTCCAGCAGCGCCCCTGAAGGCTGATGAGTGGGGGGCTGTGCAGGCACCGGAGGGGGAGGCTCAGATGACATGGCTGACCTAGGGAGAGACGGGGCTCTCAGGGCTCAGGGGGACGGAGTCCCCTCACCGCGTCGGATGGCACGGGCCGAGGCCGGCAGGGACGAGGTCACCTTGTCTGCAGCCACACCCCGCTGGGTCAGGTGTCCACTCAGGCTCACAGGTCTGCAAGAAAATGCCAAGTGGCCCCTACTACAAGGACGTCCCTTAGTGCCTAGTGCCAAGCAAGCACAGATCCGGACAAACTCAGGAGGACTTCAGGAAACTCTAGGACCTGGTGTGGATGCCTGAGAAGGCGTGACAGCCCATAGCTGGGCCTGGGAGGCCTGGTGAGGAGCCCGAGACCCAAGGGGAAGGCGCATTTCCACCCAGCCCGGTCGCCATCCCTTCTGTGAAAGCGAATTCTCTCCATGACCTTCCCACGAATCAGGATTTGGCCAGGAGGGCTGGGGGGACGCCACAGACTCTGCCTAAAGCAATGTCACCATGTCCTCCAGAGCAGGACCAGACAGCTGTGCCCAAGGACACCCTGAGGGACAGGAAGGTGCCAGCTGCCCGGGCCCAGGTCTCAGAGTCCCCCAGTAACTGAGTGTTTTCACATCTGAAGGGAACAGCATGTGGGTGGCGTGCAGAGCCTGCCACGCTGGGGATGAACACGGGACCAGAACTCATCACGGCGGGCTGGGCCTGGGAAGAGCTTGAACTCCGGGCCCCCTCAAGCTCACCAGCCAGACAAAGCCAAGGCAGCCCTGAACAGGCTGGATGCGGCTCCCCAAAGCTTTCAGACTGAAAATGGGAACTCAGCTGGGAGTGGTGGCAAACGCCTTGGATCCAGCAGGAGGGGGGACCAGAAGCTCAAGCCCAGCTCCTGGCAACTTGGCCACTTAGCAAGACTATCTCAAAATAAAAATTAAAGACTGTAAACGTCGCTTAGTGCGAAGGTCCTAGGTTCAATTCCCAGCACGAGAGGGGGAGACAGACAGGAAGAGGAGGAGAGGAGAGAAGGGAAGAAGATAAAGAATCTTTTAAACACCCCAGGTGTTTGCCTGAAAGTCTCAATTCCAGATACTTTCGAAAGAAATGGGATCTCAGGGGTGGGGATTTAGCTCAGTGGTTCCTCCACCTGTCTCACAAGCTCAAGGTCCCGAGTTCAATCCCCGGTACCAAAATAAAAATTTATTTTAAAAAAAAAAGGAATGGGACCTCTAGCAACCCTGGCCCCAGTGCCTCCATCAAACGGCTGTGTCCCCTGCTCTGCCCCCGACTCCCCCAAACCAGGCTGTGCCCTCCAGTCCTGGGGAAAGCACAGCCCACTGTGCGGGCCCTCTGGAGGTGACATAGCTGCCTCCTCACCCTCTTCTCAGCTGCAGCTGCAGCCAGGCAAGACCCCAAGTCCAGGGAGCCCCGAAAGGCCCCGCCACTGGGCTGACACTCCAGGCACAGCACAACCCAAAGCCCAGGTCACAGAGGCCTAGAATGTTCTGTGCCTGGAGTTCTGGGAAGGAGGCTGGCCCAGAGGAGGAGCTCCCCTCACCCCCACCTCCCAGGACAGCAGGTGGTACCTCAGTGACCTGGTGACAACAAGGTGAAGTGAGGGACTGCCCTCCCCCTTCTAACCCGCCCCTTCCCTCATTTCTCCTGGAGTCCGCACATCTGACTTCAAATCCTCCCACCTGCCAGCTGTGTAATCCTGAGCAAGTTACCTAACCTTTCTGGACCTCAGTTGCTGCACCTGGTAAATGGGAACTGCAACAGACCCAACACTGCACCAGCATCATGAAGCTGAAAGGAAATAACACATGCTCAGCATAGTCTGTCCGAGACAGGTAAGCTCTGTCAGCCCTGTTGTAACTGTCGTCCTAAAGTCACTCAACAAATACATGCCCCAGTAACGGGGCCCCACTCATGGTTCTGGAGATACAAGGCTGAGGCTGGAAGCAGAGAATCGACAGGCAGACAAATGCACCAACAGGGATAAAGGCAACACAGTGGTTTCTATGTTCCTTGGCCCCTTAGTCTGGTGTCTGTCTGCGATAACTAACTTTGTAAGGCCTTAGAAGCTAAATAAATGAATCTGACTCTGGAAAAATAAGGGAAGCGGAGACAAGGGGGAAAAAAGAATTGAAACGTGTCGCATACATACACCCACTGACTGCAGTGAATGTAATCATCAAGTATGGCAAACAGGTACTAATAATTTAGCTCAGGGGCCCATGCCTGCCTCACAAGCACAAAGTCTTGAGTTCGATCCCCACTGTCAGAAAGAAGGAAAAAAATGTACTAAGTAAAAAAAAAAAAGAAAAAAAGAAAAGCTGGGGGCTGGGGTGCACCTGTGTGAGGTGGGAGCTGGGACTGGGACAATGAGTAAGAATTGTTCCTTTTAACCTGGCCACACCTGCTATCTCAGGCAACTCAGGAGGCCAAGGCAGGAGGACTGCAGAACTGAGGCCAGAGTGAGCAAATTAACAAGACTGTTTCAAAAGTTTAAAAGGGCTGGGGTGTAGCTCATGGTGTGACACTTGCTAGGGTGCACAAGGCTCTGCGGCCAGTCCCCAGTACTGGGCTGAAAAGAACCCAGCCTCCTGAGCAAGGCAGGGCCTGAGCTCCACAGGGGACTGTGAGGAGCGAGGAAGGAGCTAGGACAGGAAATGAGGTGGGAGGAGGCGGGGGCACCAGGAAACATTGCATCACCAGGCTCATCATCAGCGTCATCCTGTTCTGCTGTTTGGGGAGGGAGGGGTGAGAAAGAACCTATTTTTTTTTTTCTTTTTTGGTACCAGAGATCTAACTCAGGACCCTGTGCCTGCAGGCGGGGGCACCACCTAGCTAAATCCTGGGCCTGTAGAACACCTCCCTCTGTAACACAGGTTGGCCTGCAGCTATAGATCCTCCTGCCCCAGCCTCCCGAGGGCTGGAATTACAGGAGCAAGCCTCAGTCCCCAGTGTGTCTTCCTGTCTTCACTCCCACGTCCCTCTCTGTTCATACCTTGGTGGTGTTCACTTCTTGGGCAGTGAAACAGGCCTAGAGTGGAGAACCCCTTCTCTCTGCGCCCAACCCGCTCAGGCCCCAAATCCACCCAGTCCCCCAGACGTGACAATGGAAGGAACCCCTGCCTGCTGGTAGGGAGTGGCCTGTGGGCAGCTCCAGGTCCCTCTACATCTGCAGGGCCCCGGCCAGGATCTTGGGGTGACAGGGGGAAGGACCCAAAGCCCCAATCCGTTCAGCTCACGCCCTCTCCTGTATGTGCCCCAGCCCTGCTGCATCTGCTGCCTTCATGGATGGGTACAGCGTTAAGAAAGTGTGGAAGAAACTGAGGCCAAGGTGCCAGTGACCAGGGTGGGGGTGCGGTGCTGCCTGCCTTTGCCACCATCCAGGCAACCTCTGGGAGGCCACTTGGGCTGAGACAGCCAGCGGGAGCCAGGCCCAGCCGGGGCACAGCCCAGCCCCTGGAGGTCAGGAGGAAGCGGGGAGTGAACGGGGAGCCGGTCGGAGTCCAGCGGCGGGCGGGGGCTAGGTGGAGGATGCCCTGGGCCCCGACACCCACAAGGAATGGGGCATCCCAGGGCTCTGGCTTCCTACTGCCCTCTGCAGGGTCAGCAACTCCAGGTACAGCCTGGGAGCTGGCGGGCCCCAGACCAGGCCTCCCACACCTCAACTCCCTCAGGGAGGGGCACGGGGCACTGGAAGCTCAAGATGGCAGGAGGCTCCCGGCCACACCAGGGGGGACTCTGCCCCCAACCCAGACCCCACGTCCCAGTCAAGGCGTGTGCACTCGCAGGCAGGGGAGGGCTCCGTGCATCACACAGGTCTGTCAGCCAGGGAAACATGCTTGGCCTGCAGAGCTGGGCCCACGCTGCCTCCCATGCCACCGTGTCACATATGTGCCCTCTAGAAGCCTATGTTTAGGGCCAAGCACCCACCCCGAGTCAGCCCCTAGTACTGAGGAATGCCCAGCCAGGAAAGGAGGCAGAAAGCCACGCCTACCCTCCCTATCCCCAGGGTAGGGTGTGTCAGGCAGGCCTCCTCCAGGAGCTGCTGGGAGAAGGCGCCTTGGCCTCAAAAGGCCTGGGAGCTTTCCGCAGTCCTGCAGCTCCTCCCAGTAGTTCCGAGAACCGAGCCTTCCCAGAGCTCCCGCCTACGCCGTATTTGGGACTGAGGACCTGAGGACACAGCACCCGGTTAACCAGCAGCCCCTCCTGCCCTCCTGGCCTGAACACCCACCCCATCAACCACATCCACCGCGAGGGGGTGCCTGGTCCAGGAAGGTGGGGTCAGCGGCTCCGTCTGCTCCCGAGGCTCCCTGCTTGTTGCTCCAGACCCTTCTCGAAGGCAGGAAGACGGGGCAGAGGAAGGGACAAGATCAGTTTGGGATGGATGCTTCACTCTTAGGCAAAGCCAGAACCTCTCCAAGCCTGCAACACAGGATCCTCTCGAGCCTTCCGCGGTGTCTGTGGGGAGGGGGGTCCAGGGCTGGGCCACTGCTAAAGGAGGTGAAGGTAGGGTGGGCACAAAGCCACACTAAGGGAAGACAGGGCAGGCAGCCGGAGAAGCAGCCCTGCAAGAGGTCGGTTTGTACCTGCCATCTCCGTGCGGGCTGCTGGGAGCACAAACCAGAAGAATAATCTTCACCTCAACCTAGCAGCCGTTAGCAGAGAAGGAAACCAAGGCACAGAGGGCTTACACTTTGGTGACCAGCAATCTCTGGGAGTCCTATTCAAGTGAAGATTCTGATTCTATAAGATGAGGGTGTGGGGCTCCGATTCTGCTTTCTGTTTTGTTTTGCTTTTCGAAGCAGGGTCTCTCTTTGCAGTTCAGGCTAACCCTGAACTCACTATGTATCCCAGGCTATCCCCAAATTCTCAGCTATCCTCCTGCCTCAGCCTCCCGAGTGCTGGGAATGTTGGACTTACAGGAGTGTGCCACCCTCGCCCTTGCTCACTGCCAGGGCCTAGGCCAGAGCCCAGGGCCATAAGCCTGCTAAGCACCCCAGCCCCCAGAGAGTCTGCATTTCGAGTAGGGCGGCTGCTGGCCCACAGGGCAGAGTGGCAGCTTGGGGCGATGGAATGGCCCGGCTTCACAGCACGAGGCTCAGACTGGGCACCGGGCGAAGACTGCTAGAAAGGTCAGAGTTGGTCACCTGCCCCGACGCTCCTAGGCTGTAAACTGGGAGATCCCATCCCACTCGGATCCTGTTCCCAGCCCAGCCTCAGCCCAGATCTGGGGGTGAGGGGGCTGAGCTCCACCCCAGGGGTCCCCGGAAGCGGCGGAGGTAGACGCAGCATCGCGCCCCGGGCAGCCCAAGGCCACACTTCGCTCCATTGTTCTAGGTAAGCTGGGCACAGCGAATGAGGAGGGAGGGGAGGGAGCCAGAGGGCGGAACCGATGGGCGGGGCGGGTCCAGAGCCTGAAAACAACAAACCTCTGGAACGGTTCAGAGCCTGGGGCCTGGACCCAGGAGGCTCCTCCTCCAGCACGGCTGCCTCCCCAGCCCCCACGGCCCGAGCAGTCCCGTCCGAGAGACTCGCGATCACCGACCGGCACCCACAGCACTCGTTAAGAGACCCCTGGCCTGCCTTCCACCCGGTCCTTCCTATCCCTCAACCCTCTGGACCTCCGGGACTCTGCTCTTTCACTCCCTCGGGGACCCCTGGCAACTGACCCCACGCTCCCTGCCTCAGTTTCCCATCGGTCGGACACAATAGGAGCAGAGTCCCGGGGGACTCAGAAGCGGACCCCGCGCGGCTTCGGTGAAAGCACGAGGTGGGCCCGGTCCACAACAGTCGGGCCGCCTACGAGGGCGCTGAAATAACGCTTCCCGCCGTTTCTCGCCCTCGAGGGTGGGACGCAAATCAAAACCAAACGCCCTGACTCTGGCCCTCAGCAGGATGAAGAAAGGCCGCCCCCCCCCCCCGCCTAACCCTAACCCAGGACCCCAACCGGGCCCGGCAAGGCCGGCAGAACCGGGTCTTCTAGACCTCGGCGGAGTGGCCCGCAGGGGCAAAGGCCAGAGGGAGCCTGGGGAAGGTCGCTGGGGAGAGAGAACAAAACCCTGCAAAGACAGGGGGCGCGGGGCGGCAACAGTAAGGGAGGGGAGCCGGTTTGAACTGATTTTCACTAGTTCCCTCCGGCTTCCCGGTGGCAAGCAGATGAGCAGAGCAAGAAGAGTAGGTGGAGATGTAGATGTCTCCCTCAGCAGCCGAACAGCCTGCTCCTATGTGCACACAACCCCTTCGGCCAGGGAACGTTGGAGCCTCGTCTGTCACGGTGGCGGAGACACCTCCACCTCTGAAACCGAGACCCTCCAGCCTGGAGCAGCTGATCTCCGCTCACCCCAGCGCACACACCTACTGCAACCCCGGAAAAGCCACGCGCCCAGTTTTGTTTGACTTTTCGAGAGTGTCTCGCTAGGTTTTCCAAATCGGCCTGAAGTCACTATGGAACCCAGCTGGCCTCGAACTGGCTGGCGGTGATCCTCCTGCCTCTGCCTCCCGAGTGCTGGGATCACAGGCGTGCGCCACCACCCTTGGCCCCAGAGTCTGTCTGCTCAAAAATCAAAAGTGAGCCGGACGAGGTGACGTGAGCCCGTAATCCCAGCTCTCTGGGAGGCTGAAGTAGGAGAACAGCAGGTTCGGGAAACTCAAGTGATTTAGCGAGTCTCTGTCTCAAAAATAAAATTTTTAAAAAAATGTTCAAAAGAGCTCGGAAGGTAGGTCGAAGAGAAGCGGGTATAATCCCCCACTCAAAAAGAAAAAGGAAATAAATGTTGCATTTCCGGCCTGCAGACCCGGGCTGCCAGCCCAGCGGGGAGGGAGAGTCCGCGGCCCCGCAAACACCCGGAGCGCGCCAAGCGGCCCTCCTCCCGC